CATTCATAATTGATGTCGTTGGATGAAGCAATTGATAAACATATTCACATATGTGTGGACATATAGGTGCTAATAAAATCACTTGAACTTCGATATAACGTTTAATTAAATCGAAATGAATTTTTTTCTGTGATTCAAAACATAATTCATAATATGTATTTCGTGTCGTCATTAATCCAAAAAATCCATCTGTAAGAACATCTTTATATAACATTTTTTCATAACTTTGCTGAGTTAATTGAATAGCATAATTGATTTCAGATTCAAAAACATAATCGTCATAAATATAATTTTTATCTGTTCGATAATATAATTTTTGTTGATCAATAAATTCTTCATTTCTATGATCTAAACTTGATGAAAGTTGATATAATATATTTTTAATACAATTCATACCTGATGAAACAACATCTGAACTCTTTTCTGATGGATCTAATAGATTAAATTTTTGTTTAATATCAACTGGATTTATAAGAAGTACATCTTAAATCCATTCAATAAATGTATAAAGATATAAAAGTAGTTCTTTAGCTTTGTTTTCGTCAAAATTAGCATTTTCAATTGAATCATCACCAGCATTAGCTAATACTAAACGTATACCTAAAAAAGAAAAAAGAAAAATATTTATATTTTTTTAATGAAAAGAAAAAGAAGGGAAGAGCAAACCATCAGCTGAAAATTTTTCAATAGCTTCTAATAATGTTATAAAATTTCCTGCTGATTTAGATATTGTATTTGAATTTAATAATAAATTTCCATTAATACGAAATGAACGTGGCCAATATTCTGGATGATTTGTCCATATGGCTGTATGATTACATAATGAATAAATAAGATGATTTGATGTTAAATCTTTTTCACTTGAATATAAGTTAATTGGATACCAATATTGAAATTCATTTCGAAGATGATCAAGTGTTGAATGAGATATATCAGTTGATGATAATGAATAAGATTTTTCTGGAAAAAATATATAATCCCATACTTCATTTGCTAATTGTGATGGATGAATATTTGCTGGACCTGAACAAAACAAAAACCAATATTTAATTAGAAACAAAAATCTTTTTTTTAAATCTAATTGTTTTCCATTAAATGAATCTCGTGCTTGTAATAAATGAGATATTGTATAATAAGCCATATAAATAGTTGAATCAGATAATGATTCAATTAAATATTGTTCATTCCAAGATAATTTTGTACCAAGACCATTTGAACATGAAAATACATGTTCATGTAAAGAAGCTAAAACAGTATTAAATTGATTACGTGTTTCAATATGATAAACATTCATTTGATCTAATGCTTGTTTGGCTGTGGGTGTGGATGGATAGAAGAGCATGACTCACAGCTACACCCACACCCCACACCCACACCCACACCCTTTTTGATGTCATCGGAATTGCGCAGATCGAATTTAACATAATATAGACGCCATCAATAACTATGTCGCTGGGAAATTTCCAACTTGAACAGCATAAACGTAGTGCAATAAAGCTGGAAAAAAAATTCCTTCGACTTCCGAATTTATCGTTCTCCACTGAATCAACATCGCCGACACAAAACGGATTCTTATCTTATGATGTAAAACAAACACTGACTGATTTCTGCAGCGTAAAAAAACACATAAAAGCAAAAAAAATCGCTCCGGAAGAATGGCATTTTCTTTTTTCTTCTCGCCCTCGAACACATCCATTGTCAAATTATGCACAACGTAAGTGGGTAAAAACCAAATCGAACAGTGCCCCTAACAAGAAAAAGAGTATAAGAAAGCACGACCTTTCCACACCATTCATTGATATGCTTCTCAAGGAGTGTCACATTTCCAGTTTCCCGAAGAATACAAACCAAGGAGAGAAATCTTATTCGAAGATTCTCAATCGTTCCAGCCATTCTCAATCATTCTGAGTTACCGACGAACCATCTATATATATATATTGTCGAGTGTCTACGTGTCTCTTACCGAGTAAAATGTCAGACGTCAAAGGTTAGAAGTGAAGAGAAAATTCCGTACAGTATACATGCGATTTTCTAATTAGAAGAATTGATCGACCTCAATTTCGCGCCATTCCCAGAGCTTGGAACGAGCTTTTTTCTACTTGGTTTCATCGCTGTCAATTTAAAGAATTATATAGAAAAGCAAAGTGATGTAAAATAAACTTACTTGGATTAGTAAATACCTGTATATTTATATTACGTATCTTATAACAAAAAAATCATCGAATAGGATGTTCGGAAATAGAACAGTTAGAGTTCCTTCGTCTCAATCTGCACGAGATGTAGTTCTGATGCATACACACTAAGGCAAATTGCAATCTTAGAGGCGAAGACGAATATATTGCTATTTATTCGAAGAGGAAAACGTGAATGCGAGTTAGAGATAAGTGAAATTGGGTTTTTATCGGTTTTGATCCTGCAAAAATCCATATTCTTTGGAAAACCTCGAACAAAACTGAAAGCGCTAAAAAACACAAGAAAAACATTTTAAAGTGCCAATATGATGAGGATTCTCGATATTACTATGCCATCCTACATACGCGATTTCTTCGAAGATGGCCATTCTTTCTAAGTCACTTTTCTTGTGATTAAGTCGGAGCATAAAACCAGTGCTAAACTTTGTTGTGCTCATTTGTCATGCGAATACATTAAGGAAAAGGTGAATGCGGCCCACAGCAAATAGAAAAAAGCTAAGAAAACCTTTTTGAAATTACTTCTTCACAACGAGTAATGAGGCAATGATTGATTGCATCCTCACGTCCGATTGAGAGCTGGCCAATGGCTTTCGTCTAGCCAGTATCTCGACGAAATTTATCTGTAATATCATAGTTATATAACTTTTAGAGATCTATTTGATTTCTAGACTTTGTCAATCATATCGTTAATCCTCCTCTTCTCAAATAATTATTGATTCAATCAAATACAACTAACCACAAGCGCAAGCATTCAGCATGAGTGAACGTATGAGCTTTCCAATAACTCGACATAGTTATTCATCGATAATGAATAGTAACTTCATGAATTCGACGGATCCCTCGAAAGAAGCAATGGATAAGAGTGGCAGTACTGAATTAGGAGTTCAAAATTCTACAGGACGATTGCGTAAGTATGAAGAATAATAACAACATAGGTTTGAGATTCTTCTTTATTTGTACGTGTTAAAAAGGTCTGACCAAAAGTTTTAAATCAATCCGATAGAATAATAGGACCAAGTAACCTTTCTCAATACACAATATAATTACTTGCCTTTGGCAGTTTTACCATTTTAATCCTATACAATATACTTCAAAAATCTTTTGCTTTTATATGACTAAACAGAGCGTCGACTTGACTATTAAATTGTATAGTTTTATCTGTTTTATTTTGAGGTTAGTCAAAAGATACAGTAACTTTGAAAACTACCAAGAGGAAATTTTTGCACACTCGTATCTCACTGAGGCTAACTTCAAGTATTTTAATAACGGTGTTACATAAAAATATTTCATCAAACTGACGAAAAAGCTGCACTAAATATCGACTAAAAGCATTTTATATTTGAGAAAATAATTTAATTTTAGACTGGAAAAAACTGTCTCCTAGTGCTATTTAATTTAGCTAAATAATAGACTTCACCTTAATAAAACTAAAATCATATAAATCAATAGAGAAATCAACACATTATTCAACATATGATTATAGTTTCTCGAAGAAAAATAACGCTAAAAATTATGATAGAAACGAGTTAGCATGCACTACCGTCTTGACGGTGAAGGCGAGGGGGAAGAGATCATCCTCATTTACTCTCAACTGATAATTCAAAGAACAAAAGTCTTATTGCAGGTACTCAACTGCTTCAAAAATTGGTACACAAACATGAAATACGAGCTCGCGACAGTGATCGTCTTCTGGCACTTGCAGAGTTTGAGATAGTCATTTTGTGTGATGATTCAGGAACGATGGATACGCCTGTTGGTGGCATTAATCGAACTCGTTGGAACGAGCTTTGCTATATAGTCAAACTCGTTATCGAAATCGGAACGATCTTTGACACGAACGGCGTGGATGTCTATTTCCTAAATCGAGAAAAAGCTGTCGGAATTACCGATCCAAAACAGATCGATCGTTTATTCATTTCTCCTCCATTTGGATACACACCACTTGTACGAAAACTGCAAGAAATCTTACAATTTGTAGAAAATCGTCCTGATAAGGGGAAAAAAGTATTGGTTTTCATTGCTACTGACGGAGCACCAACTGACGATGGTGGCAATCCTGATCCGGATAGATTTGAGCAAATGATGAGAGATGAACGTGATGCTGAAACTACTCATGTTATGTTTCTACTCTGTACTGATGAATCAGATTATATTGAATACTTGACCAATTTTAAGAGAACGATGAAAAATGTTGACGTTTATGGCGATTATGAAACCGAAAAGAAGAAAATTCGTGAGCGTGGAGGTGGCCAAATACTCTCACGAGGTGATTATATTGTCCAGGCGTTGGTTGGTGCTGTTGAACACAAGCATTGATCTTTTCGACAAGTTCTACCGAGAAAATCAGACTGGTAGCTAACAATCAGCGAAGACTGACTTTCTTATTTATTCTTTATTTGGTATCATAATCTAGAATACTATTGATAATTGCTTACTTGTTACTATTTTTTTTTCTTAGAAGGACACTCGCTTTATTGCCTTAGGATAAATAAGGGCACATCATATCGAAAACGTCTAAGCAGAAAAGTATGGGTGTGAGTGTGTAGGTATAGATGTTGATTGTGGTTTTCGGTTTCGATGTGAATGTAAATGCAGAGAACAGTTTCAAGCACACCCACACCCTAATTTTTCATCATGTTGACATTGAAGTTTGTACTTCTCAATGGCTTTTGTTTGTAGTTTCCATTGAGATTTAGTGTTTGTTGAAAAATCGAGCTGTAAAATTGCAGTATCAAATTCACGGAAGTTAGTATGCCATATAATACCTATAATAGTTTTTATATAAAATTCACGTGATGAATAAGGAATATTTTGATTTTATTTTTCGGTTCCTTTCGATTGTTCGACATTTCGACTAAACTTGTTAGTCATTATTATCTTGATAATGACGAACATTATATTCGTAAAAAGCGAAATGATCAATAATAAGTCGAAGCGTTTAATATTTGAAATAAATTTAAAGAAAATCAAAATATTTCTCATTTGCTATTTGAATTTTATATCTATATTATTACATATATTGCCTATTTATGAATAAAATCAATATCTAATGTTTCATTTCTTCTGTTACAACAATATTTGTTCCAGAGACTAGGCAAAATTAATTCCATGCACCGGCTCTTCGTGCTGTAAAAGAAGCAAATATAAAATTTTCGTTTCTAAAATATGTTTTCAACCTCAGGCAATTTATCTTGTGCTTCTTTTTTATTATTCATCATTCTTGTGACTGATTTTAATATAATTGTATTTTTTATTAATTGTTTATAAAAATAAAGTACACGTCGATCGTCACATAATCTACTGATAATATTCATTCCATTGTTATTTAATAAACTAAATGCTTCACGTATTAATTATCTATCAGTTATATGGTCCCCTCCTACGACTAGTTTGAAGTTTCATATTTTGGTATTTTTTAAAACTTCAGATGAAATTGTTTTATGTTCTATAGTCTCTGTTAATGAATTCCAAATGATATTCAAACATTGTAGAAGAACCTTTTCAGCACTTATTTTGATTCATCAAATGAAAGGGTGTGGGTCTGATGTGGATGTGGAGTGACTATACATGAAACGAGCACCCACACTAACCATCAGCCATCCACATCCACAACCACACCTTGCCAAGATGCAGTGCCTACCAGAGCTCTTTTTTTTAAATTATGCTTTATTTTTACTATATATACAAACACTTATATAAACAGACATCCATTTTTGGCGCATTTTTTGAGTCATTGAATTTGTGATCTCTTTTCTTCAATTAAAAAGTAAGAGTTAAAAAACAAAAGGCCACTGGCAAGCACTACATCTTGACAAGCTCTTTTCAACATAAAAAAATTTAGATATATAGAATGAATCTGGACAGAGAAATCTTGTTTGCCAAATGAGCTATTTTCGGTCCTTGTTTGATGAGTATCTCTGTTAAACATCATAATATAGGGCTGAAAATTTCAGCCAATACGAATGTTTCTGGGCTGAGATAGGTTTTCGAGGGAGGAGACCCTTAATAGTTCCCTATGACATCTCTTTTTTTTTATAGAGAGTACTGATTTTTCCATTTCAAGATTAGATCATCAGTAATTTCCTTAATCGAAGATTGCTGTTCATCATCAGATGTCGTACTGGTTCCATTTTTTTGATGGAATTCAACTTGTTGTTGACTTAATGGAAATATATTACTTCTAGGACATTTATTTATGGTCTTTTCATTGTTTTGTTTCCGATTTTGCACTGGCATCTGCTGTTGATACAGATCCAGGGTATTTGATGATTCATATCTCCTGTTATGATTATGAATCATAGTAAAGAATATATCAAAAGAAGAGACTAAAGAACGTAAGAATCGATGTATACATGACTAAACGATGTGACCGAATGTTTTTTTTTAATGTGTTCTGTTCATGCGTATCTTGCGTTTTATGTGTGTTTAGTAGACGTGTCATAACCATATAAGCAAAAAGGCTCACCGAAGTCAGTAATATAAATTTTTTTCTCACCAACGTACAATATAAATACATCAACCGTTAAACGACCATACAATTTAAACAAGGTAGGAAATGATAAATACTTTTTTAAAATCTTTTTTTCAAAAAATTAATGATGGAAATGTGTGAAGAGAATCCCATGTCATCGATTTTTTATTAAAACCTATGGCTCAAGAGGTTTTATCCTCTACTTATTGATTCTTTGTAATTTCACTGATAAATTAATACTTTCAGTGTTGAAAAAATCGATTGCAACTCAAAAACTTGGACGTTTTTATGCCATAGTAAATTATATCAGATGGCACCACTAATTTTCCTATTTGTTAGGTGTGGACACGATTTAAGGGAAACAGCGAGATAAGGAAAAGTATGATGCAGAATTGACACCACAAGAAGCTCATAATGGTGGACCAATGGGATTCATTTGTAGTAAAATATGGATCATCCATACCTTACAAACACTGAATCCTATTGGTCTGCGATTACGAGTTTCTTGTAGTCTCCATACTGTTTCATACTTTTTCCCTTGTTTTGTTATTTCCCTTAAATCGTGACTACAGTTAAGTCATATAATGACTGGCTATTTTTTATGGCGCCATATTTCATTAAAATGAAACTTGAAAACTACGCAAATTTAGTCGATGTGGCTGGTATCGGCGCCTTTGATTAACATCTACCAATTTTGTAAGAGTTGAAAAATTTTCATTCATTGTGATACAAAAAAAACCTTAAGCTTAAGAATCACAATTAACTGCCGGTTTTCGACCGGTTCGAACAACATGGGATACTATATGAAGATCCATTCGATAATTAAGAAATACATTTTTTCTTATAATTATTAAAGTTGTATTCTTTTGAATTCGTCTAAATATTATTTATTATTATTGTAGTGAATGGTTTCAATTTTAATAATATTTTGTTTTTACGCAGTTTACATTATATGTATTTTCGATGAAGTAAAGTACTGCATTGAATATTGTTATTGGCTTTGAGTAATTTCTTCTAAAACTCTAATGTATTATTATCAAAAAAAAAAATGTTTTGTTTTTCATAAATGAGAAGAAAATAAATTTGACACTTTCATTTGATTATTTTCTAACAAAATCAAAAAATCAATATCTTTATTCAAATAACATATATATATATATATATTCGAAAACTTAAAATATCTATTCAAAATATATTTAAAATATTTCATTCTTGACATAATTATGTCAATTTATTGTTAATTCATAATAGAAATATACACAAAACCTTTCTTTTCAATTTACTTTATTAGACAAAACGATTTATCAAAGATTATTTATTTATTTTTTCATTTTATTCTTAAATGTTTGTCATTTTTTTTTATTCATTAATATTTTTGCTCAAATCTATACTCTAATAATATATAAAGTTATATAACTGTTTTAAGATTTCCTTTTTATGTGCATGTTTTAAAACATTTTCAAAAAAAAATCATTGTGTTACGTAAGAGAATAGAGAAAATAATGTTCGTTCGAGAATTTAGAATCTCGTCCTAGTGAAAGTATTCATCCAACGAATACTGAAAAAGTATTTACGCTAGAAAATACCGTGAGTACTCATTAGTAGTACTGATGCTAGAATCTGAGTACGATTATCGAGTACTTGGAGTGTTCTGTGAGTAGTCATACACAGTGTTTGCAAAATAATCATAGGTCTATAAAAATTTCAAGGATAAAGATGTTACATTATGTTTACATATTTTTACAAAAAGGATAGAGATAAATTTTCCACTTTTAGAAAATAAAAAAGAGAAATAGATAATAAATTATTCATGAAATTAAGATATGCGATAATAATAATAATACTTCATTTAGTAATGTTTGAAAAAAAATATAAAAAAAACTAATTCATTCCAGTATGATGTATGTGATTTCATAGTATTAAATTTGAATCGATTTGTAAGAAAAGTTATTAGCCATCTTTTATCTCATTAATTATCATAATCAACCTGAAAAAGTCGTATATGGACTTCGAAGAATATTTCATCTAATTTAAAAAAAAATATGCAGTCTTATTTTAGAAATGAATAGTCGAAAATGACAAGTCGTTTGTCTATTCTTGAAATAACCATAAATTCATTAAACTACTGTAGTATGTATGACTCATTAGAAAAAAATATAGAGGATAATATAGATAAGTCATTAAAAAATAGAGAAATAGCTCATATGAGTACTTGAAAAGTATAATTGTACATAAAATTTTCCTAATACTCACGCGAATAATTCGCATACGCATGCTTCACTAGGGGATCGTAAATAAAATACCATTTGCACTGAATATTTTAAATAATTCAGATCAAATTCATTTTTTCCTCTTGATATTTTTCTTCATCTCAAAATCAAATAAAACAATCATGCTTTTATTTTTATCGAACTTGTAATACTTATTCTTTTCGATCTTTTTTGTTTTTGTTTTATTCACATTATTCCTTAATTTCAAAAGTATAAAATGTTCTCTGTTGCAGGTTGCGATAATGTCAATGAATAATAAAGATGTTTTAAATGAACATCCATCTTGTGATCCGATTTGTATTTCCAAATTACAAGAAGCTTCAAATGCAACGAACTGTTTAACAGCTTCAGTACATGCTGTTAATCATACTGGCAGTTTGACAATTTCTGAGATGCCTTTTACATTAGAGTATGTTTATATTCTTTTAATTTAAACGAATCCACATATTTCTTTATCAGAATAGACTATTACTCGGCGAAAAGATGCTCTTGTGTTGCTGTTTTTGGATCAACTTTATTCATACTTCTAGGAATGACTTTTGCTATTCTGGTGGTGTGTTTAACAGCACCAAAATTAAGTATGTTTTTTGACTTAATTTTAAAATTGCTACAAATAGGTAGATATTCATTAAATCTAAAAACTACTTAGAAAAAACAGTGGCCGGAAAGTATAATAGATTGATTGTACCTTCACTGTTGATTGATATTTTTTTAAGTATATAATTTATTTTAACAATGTTCTTTAGGTAAATCATGTCAATTAAAATTTCAAACAATAATAGATGATGATTCATTCACACATAATTCAAATCCATATTTTCTTGTCACTGGTGATTTTAATCATGATAATTTACTCGATATCGTTGTTGCTAATTCTGGTACAAATAGTATTGGTATATTCCTTAATTATGGCAATAAAACATTCGCATCACAAATGACATTTTCAACAGAAGATCATTCTAGACCAATTTCAGTTGCTACAGGTGATTTTAACAATGATACTCATTTAGATATTGCTGTTGCCAATTATGATAGTCACAATATAGGTATATTTCTTGGCTATGGTAATGGTTCTTTCGCAAATCAAACAACATTTTCTACTGGTGCTTCTCATCCTGTCTCAATAGCTGTTGGTGACTTAAACAATGATCATTGGCTAGATATTGTCGTTGCCAATAATGGTACGAACAATATAGGTATACTTTTGGGATATGAAAATGGCTCTTTTGGAGATCCGATAACATATTTTACTGGCTATGATTCATTTCCTCATTTCATTGCTATTGATGACTTAAACAATGATCATAATCTAGACATTGTAGTAGCAAACTATGGTACTAATAATGTTGGCGTATTTCTTGGATATGGAAATGGGAATTTTACACCACAAATTATCTATTCAACTAGTCCACAATCTGGTCCCTATTCGATCGTTGTTAATGATTTCAATAAAGATGGACAATTAGATATTGCTGTGGCCAATTCTGGTAAGAACAATGTTGGTATATTTCTTGGTTACAGAAATGGAACATTTACATCACAAACGACATATTCGATTTCTCCTGGATCTCGTCCGCAATCGATTATTGTTGGTGATTTCAATCAAGATAATGAACTAGATATCGCTGTTTCTAATCATGACACAAACAATATTTGCGTTCTAGTTGGATATGGCAATGGGAGCTTTGCAATACCTACAATGCATTCCACCGATACTGATTCAATTCCATTCGCAATGACTGTTGGTGATTTTGATAACAACAATCAATCGGATATTGCTGTTGCCAATTTTGGTACGAACAACATATTGATGCTTATTGGATATGTTTTGATGCAATCAAAAAGTCCAACAGCCTATTCTACTGGAATCGGTTCACTTCCTTATCATATCACTATTGGAGATATTAATAATGATACTAATCTTGATCTAGTTGTTGCCAATTCTGGTACCGGCACTCTTGGCATATTTCTTGGTTATGGGAATGGAAGTTTCCAAGAACAAATAACATATCCATCAACAAAGAATGCTGGTGTGCGTGGACTTATTCTCAGTGATTTAGATGAAGATCATCAACTTGATATTGTTGTTGCTAATTCTAATGACGAAACTCTAGGAATACTATACGGATATGGCAATGGTTCATTTACTTCAGTAGTAACATATTTCACTGGAAGTCCTTCATCACCAAGATGGATCACTATTAATGATTTCAACAATGATAATCATCTCGATATTGTCTTTACTGATCAAGTCAGTGGATATATAGGTATTTTTCTAGGATATGGAAATAGAACGTTCGGAAATCTAATGAGATTTTTTTTCGGACATAAATCACAATTGTTTGGCATAGCTGCAGGAGATTTCAATCATGATGATAATTTAGATGTTGCTGTTGCCGATTATGGCACTGGTAATATCGGTATCTTTCTCGGATCTGGTAATGGCAGCTTTACATTATTTACTCTTTGTTCGACTGGAGATAAATCGCATGTGTCGTCGGTTACTGTCGTCGATTTAAACAATGATACTTACTTGGATTTTGTCGTCACTAATTCTGCCACGAACAATATAGGAGTATTTTTTGGTTTTGGCAACGGTAGCTTTGATAAACAGCTGTTATATTCAACAGGCATGAGTTCTGGATCTAGTTGGATTAGTGTGGCTGATTTTAACAACGACGGTTCGCTCGATCTTGCTGTCGCGAATCCCTTGACGAATAATGTAGGTATATTGCTTGGAAATCGTCAAGGATATTTTACTAATCAAACAATCTATTTAACTGGTTTAAATTCCAAACCATACTCGATTGCCGTTGGTGATTTCAATAAAGATAATCAATTAGATATTGCTGTAGCCAATTACGGAAGTAATAATGTCGCTATATTACTTGGACATCCTATTAAAAATTCTTCAAATCAAACAACTAATGCAATTGATAATAATTCACAAGTTAATTATAATAGTCAGTCGAATTCTACAATTACAGATTGGCTCATTAATGATAAACCGATATTATTAGGAGATTATTACGCAGGTTTCCAAAGTCAAACAATCTATTCAACAGGTTTTAGTTCTAATCCGTACTCTATTGCTATTGGTGATCTAAATAATGATACACACATGGATATTGTTGTTACCAATTCAGGAAATGAAAATCTTGGTGTCTTTCTTGGATATGGAAACGGAAGTTTTGCCACGCAAATAATCTATCCAATTGGTGTTGGTTCTAGTCCAGGTCATGTTATTATTGATGATTTTAACAGAGACAATTGGCTGGATGTTGCTATTACCGATGGTAATGATGACAATCTAATAATACTTCTAGGAAATGGAAGTGGAACGTTTTCAACACAACTGACATATTTCACTGGTTCTAGATCAAAGCCGAGTGCTCTTGCAGTTGGTTATTTCAATAATGATAAATATTTGGATCTTGTCGTTGCTAATAAAGAAAAAGATACTATTGGCATATTTTTTGGACTTGACTATACATTTTTCAAAAATCAAGAGTCATGTGACGCTGGCAAGGATTCAAGTCCAGATTCGTTGGCCGTTGGTGATTTCAATAACGATGGTCATTTAGATATGGTGACTACACTTTATTATGGTGGTAAGTTGGGTGTGTTTCTCGGCTATGGTAATGGCTCTTTTACATCATTAAGTACATATTCAGATATACGCTTTTCACAACCTCGCGCAGTCACTGTTGGTGACGTTAACAACGACAATCAACTGGATATTATAGCAGCGAAACGAGGTATTAATAGTATTAGTGTGGTATTAGGACATGGAAATGGCACGTTTGCAGATCCTCTATTGTATTCAACTGGTCCTAATACTCGACCACGTTCAGTGGCTGCAGGTGATTTTAATCATGACAATTGTCTCGATGTTACTGTAGCAAATTATGGTGCAAACAATATCGGTGTATTCTTTGGTTATGGAAACGGGACCTTTCAAAACGTAATAGCATTGTCAACAGGCAAACGTTCTCGTCCAAATTCGGTTACTGTTTTCGATATCAACAATGATACTCATTTGGATATAATCGTCGTTAATAGAGGAATTGATCAGGTGGGTGTATTTTTGGGATACGGCAACACAAGTTTTACACAACAGATGACTTTCTCAACTGGTGCTGATTCGTCTCCAACGGTTGCTATCGCTCGGGATTTCGACAAAGATGGAAAAGTAGATCTGGCTATTGCAAATTATGGCACAAGTAATGTCGTTATACTCTATGGATATGAGAACGGTGCTTTTAGAAACTCGCGTATATTTACAACTGGTACTAATTTTCATCCAGAGCAGATGGAAGTCGGTGACTTCAATAATGACAATCAACTAGATATCATCGTTATCGATAGTAATAGTCAATATGTGGGTGTCTTTTTTAGTTATAATGATGGAACATTTGCCAGTATATCGTTAGTTCCCCTAGAAGAGATTGCTTCTAGTATAGGTTATGTTGCTGTTGGTGACTTCAACAATGATACTCGCTTGGATTTCGCTTTGGCTGATTATGGCAATAACTATATTCAAGTATATCTTGCAAATGGCACTAAACCTTTCACAGGACAAACAATGTTCTACGATGTTGATCAAGGTGCACGTCCTTCTGCACTGGCTGTTGGTCATTTCAATAATGATAGTCATTTAGATCTTGTTATCGCCAATTATGGCACTAATAATATTGGCATACTATTTGGATATGGAAACAGAATGTTTTCAAATGTTAGAACATATTCGACTGGTGATGGTTCTCATCCTTTGTCGTTAACTGTTGGTGATTTCAATAACGACTCTCTAACAGATATTATCGTTGCAAACTATATGGCTGATAATATTATTGTATTTATTGGCTTAGGTAATGAAGAATTTTTTATTTTAACCACTTATTCAATGGGTCATAATTCTCATCCAATGTCAATTGCCGTAGGTGATTTTAATAGAGACTATAAAAAGGATATTGCAGTGACAAATTTCGGTACGAACAATATTTGCATTCTTTTTGGTTATGATAATGGAACGTTTACTAACCAAACATGGTATCCATTAGGCTATGATTCTCGACCAACTTGGATAGTTTTTAAAGATTTGAACAATGATACTTGGGATGACATCGCTGTTGCAACATATGGTATAGACAATATAAAAATTCTTTTAAATCTTTGTTAAAATTGAACTATATGTTTCATTTGATTTTTTTTCCTGTTTTTTGTTTTCGATTTTACTTTAAAGTTTATTTCTGTTTCTCATTTAATAATAATTATTGTATATATATATATATATAACTTATGTCTTAACCAACTTGGTTTTGAAAGGTACAGATATACATTTGATAATTTGATGAAAATGAGTTGCAGAATAACAATGGGATTCATCATACAATGTAAATAATTCAGTGGTACACATTCTGTGGTTAAGAAAGATAAACAGATGATTGAATACTATGTTATATCGATTAAAATCGATGAATTGACAGGAAAAAAAAACCGACTAAGAAGTTATATGCAAAATAAAGGAGAAAATTCAAAAGCATATTTTGTTCAAAATTTATTCTCTTTGAGATCTGGATATATTTATCACTAATCTATATTTTTCATATATTTTGAATAAAAAGTAATGAAGAACGAAAATTTTTATTGATTTTACTATTTAATCACAAAGGACGAAAATGTTATCATAGAAAAATTGACGAAGATAATTATTAACAAAATATCAAATGACAAAATTGCACTCAATTTTTGTTTTATTATATCGAATATAAAAATTTAAACTAAATTATAATTTATAAAGCCCAAAATGATTGTAAATTAAAGTATGAAATCGCCGATAGAATTAACAAAATACAACACTTTTTTTAAAATAATGATGACTTACTTAAATTTGACGTTATTGTTTATGATTCTTGTTCGAAAATTTTAGATTTAATCGACATGAAAATGAACTTAGCTTATCATTGATTGGCTTCTCAATAATAGATTCTATTCCAATGTTATAGTTGTTACACATTTTCAATTTACTTAATTCTTAAAAGTAATTGTTTGCTTTGTTTGTTGTATTTGATAAAGCTATCTTTATTCATTTCAATCAACTTTTCGATTCAGAATTCAATCATAAAATTACACGGTTACATCCTTTGAGTTCTCATACAATGGGCTACTTGATTTCAATCCGAATTTAGAAGAAAAAAAGACACTCGATTGGGTGTGGGTATGGGTTACAGCCCGGGGGGGGGGGGGTCCAGAAATTCTGGACTCAAACCTGGTTTATTGAATATTTTTTAGACCTAGATCCAATCCCAGTCCCGAATTGTACTCTTGACACTTAATGAAATTTATTTAATTCGCACCTGATAATCCTCCAAGAACACACCCTCAACAGTTCTGAAGCAATCTCGATTATGATCTTATAAGAATCAACCGTTAGTTGACTCTTTTTTTTCAGAGTAGCATCCATGAAGTCAAACCCGGACTCGACCGGTTCCGGATTCAGGACCAACCCGATGGGCTCTAGTGTGGGTATGTATACCAGTATTCTCTTCACTCACACCCACAAATGCATGTTATCCAGGAGAGTAGGAGTGATATTTTTAAAAAATTCAAGTCTGAACGGCCAGTGCTGATAGAGAAAAGACCAATTTCTAGATTTCTTTTGGAATTTTTAAAACTTTGTTTTTTGTTTGTCAAATTCTGAAATTGAAAACGAAATTGCAATTTGAAAATGTTGAAAATCTATGTAAAATTCGATAATCTCAAAGTTGTCTGTCTTCCTTCAATACCAAAGAAGAGAATAAGAAAAGAAATACGAGAAAAACTACAACTATGAGAAATAAAATAATCAATGCACTCAATCACAAAAGTACATATTTAAATAAATTCCTTTTTTTCTATCTTCTTCAATGAAAAAATAAATTGGTTAAGAAAATCTGTATTCAAGCAGAATTTTTCTTTCCATAAGGGTTTCATCTAAGTCTCAGCTCTGTATGTTCAAATAAGGGGTGGATGTAGTACGTAGTTGTTGGTGCTAGTTTTCATGTAGAGTCGCTATCAATCAACAGTTGAAAACAATGACCGCATATGCGAACCAGCATACTTACTGCTAATCGAAAACCCACACCTATACCTCGATTTACATAATTTCTTAACTTTCTGATTAAACCAATCTTCTATTTTAATTCTAATGTCATCTGGACCGCTGACTTGCACATAAAAGAATCTCTATACAAAACACTAATATATTCATTATCATATTACAAACGCTGCTTCATTTGAACTCAATTCGAAGAAAATAGGAACTGATCCAATCTCTGTTTTATCTTTCTCTTTTTTTTAATATTACCTTTGTTGTTGTATTCTTGATTATTATTTATTGTTTTGTTTCGATTCTTTTTCAAAATAAAATACGATAATCTGTCCACTTCAAACATATATCATGACAACAGAGTAATTTACGAATATTGGAGATTACTATATAGTCCTAATTGAGAGTCTCACAATTTATGTCACCTGAAGAAGTCCTTTAGCAAGGGGAAAACACGTTGTGAGCGCTTTAGATTCTCTACTCATTCGCTACTCTCAAAGATTAGATTATATCGCAGAAATCAAAGACTATTTATTGTTAATAGAATTGATAATTATAAGATCATAGCTATATCATTGTTTATTGTTTGTGTACGTTTTATTTTTGATATTGTTCAATATCAGGATCTTAAAATTCAGAAAATTTCTCAATAATTTTCTTTGTTAAAATTTTTTAAATCGTTAATTTAGACAACCAAGTAGTATTTATACTAAAAGTATAATAAATTAATTCTATGATCATTTCTGCTACATTATTCTTCTTTCAAAGTTATTATTGACGACCAAAATTAGAAGCAAAAAAAAAAAGTCAAAATATTGTTATCTTTTCTTACATAGTTTTCATTCTATAGAGACTTGCATTGACTGAACTATTACATACTTTAGCTCAAATCAATAGCTATTTCTTTCAAATATTGCAAATACGTATTTATTCATTTTTATGAAAAACATTTTTCTTTGCCTGCTTGAGGTTCGATAAAGAGTCGAGCGAGCTGCGTGATAAAAGAATGCAGTCATGGTTGCAATCGTCTAACTATCCCGATTGCCTCGATAAGCTTGAGTTATATTTCAGTCAATATGTTCTCATCATCTCACAATCGTAAATGGAGAAGTGCATCGTTCTTTCATATGCAACCAATCAATTCGTCGCGGACTATTCATTGTTATTGCTTCTTTCGTTTCGTATATAGAACGAATTTTCTTGTGATGGATAGACTGTCGATTAATTGGTTTAGCATCGATATTTTGTTACACGTACATTTACTATGTAGGGGTTTTCTTTGATGAAGAGCGCAGAGAAATAGTGTTCATTATTCAGAGTTGGCAGATGTTTACTATATAGAGGATATATATACATTAATAGAATTTATATATTTTCTCTCTTATTTAGAAAAAAACTATTGTTTCGTTTGATTCAACACTTGAAGATCTGTAATTAATACCCCACTGTATCGTATAGCGTTTTGCAATATCTCGTTCTCGACGTAAGACATCATATATGCGGCTATATTGACTAGATGATAGTAGATTTTGTACTTCAGTCATCCAGCTATAAAATTGATCATCAGAAATTGCTGCAAAACGATTCAATGTTTCACTTATTAGAGGACGATCTGCTATCGGCAGCTTGTTGAGATATTGTTCGAATTTTCTTGCTTGATCTATTGGATCAAATTTAATGACGGAAAGATGTTTATAATGGAACTTAGAGGCTATAATACTGATGGCATTAAGTTTATCCATGCCAAAGCAGGCACCATGATCAATTAGATATACTTTCAATTTTACAGTATCATCATTAATATTAGTTGTATTCGGTATTGTAATTACAATATTTCGTTGATTACGATCTACATTCTGTATTATACGATCGAATAGATCCATACATTCTATTATTGGTTCAGTTAATAGTAATTTTCTTTTTTTTTTTGGTAAGTCCATAAATGTAATACTTTTCTCATTTTCATGAGCAACATCAGTATGTAAAGTTACTAGTTCATTTTGATAAATTGCAATTTGTACCTCATTAACAGGTAAACCAAGTTGCCTTCCTAAAATATAGGCTAGCCATTCATTAGCAGCACACAATGGATGATCTTCTATTTTGACCATGATTCGTTGACCTTGAGGATTACGCATCCAGAAGGATGGGCTACTAAAACCTTTATCAGGATTTTCGCCTTCGAACTTCCAATCTGATGTAATTTCACTAAATGCTGGCTTAAGTGAATTTTTAGTAGTTTGTTGTTTCATTGCAATTTGATCTTGTTCGGCTAAATCTCGCTTTACAGCTTCTACGATAACATCACCGGTATGTATATCTTGTGCACGCATATTGATCGCATGCATTATATCATCAAGCATTGTTTTAATGGGACCTTGTACCAACCGAATAATATTATTGGATAGACGTATCTTTTGACTAGTTTTTGGTGTTGTATTAGGACCAATAATTATTATCGTTTCTTCTTCATCTTCATCTAGATTCGTTTCGTTTTGTGGTTCAGTTAGAACAGAATCATTTTCATTTAGATCTAAGATAGTGGGACTTATCTGTTTGAAGAGTAGATGAGACAGTGTTGAAATGTCATCTGATTTTTGTGACATATTCTTTATTAAAGTACCAACAACATATTGGCAATGACATTCTTTTTTCGATGATACAGGATTCAATGGTGGTGATTTCATCATTTCAGATTGATTGTTCGATGGAACATTAATATCGATAATATGTGATTGTTCTTGTGATGCTCGTTTTTGATAATCATTATTTATTTCATCAAATTTTACTTGTAATTTCTCAATATCTTTTCTTAAATGTTCAATATCATTTTCTAAATAATTATTTTTTTCAGACTTTAATCCATTTCTCATCGTAATCGATTTCTTTTTCAAATCTTGTTTATCTTCATTAATAAGATCTTGTAACTGTTCTTGTATTATATTTGCTGTTTCTTCAAATTCGTCCGATTTCATTTTAAATTCATAAATTTGCTTTATAAAATCTAATTTAACATCTGGTGATGATTGTGATATTAATGACTTAAATTTTTCCCACAATAATTCTTTAGTATGTATAACATGTTCAAAATCTTCTTGAAGTTTGCTTTGATGGTCCAAACAATGATCTATACAATATTTTTGTCCGCATCCTTGACAATAATTCATAGGTACTCTTTCACATTTTACATCATAGTTACAATATTCGTCCGATGATTGATCAATTGAATTTGAAGAAACCATTTTTAGAAGAGTGCAAACAAACTGTATGAAAAGCTAAAATTTACAAAAGTAGACGATGAATGCATTACATTGAAATTTCATGCAAATAAATTTCAGATTTAATTAAATATAATAAAAAAAAACAAAAAGATTTTAGAAAAGTTAAAATAGTTATAAAAATGATGCGTAACTCATAAATCAGAACAAAGTTTATGAAATGGTTTCGGAGTCATAATTACTCTGACAACATGTTTAGATACAGTGAACAGATCACATCATAATTGATCTACTAATACTCTCATTCATCAATATAAAGCGATCACTCAATCACGACTCAATATAACAATTTAACTTTAAAGGTAAACCTTTAGATAGTTTGCCGAAAAAATCAATCTCACAATTTTGGATACCGCAATCACAAAAATCTTTGATTTTGCGGTCAAGGAAAGACTAGTATGAGAAACCAACAGTCTCTTGATCAATCTAAATATGAATATCACTAATTCGATATTATGCATATAAATATACGCATCACTGATCCGACGTTATTCATACAAATGTGCATACATTAATCCGACGTCATCCATATAAACGTGCACTCAACTAAACAAAAAATATCTATACAAATGCGCACGTCAACGGTTTGACGTCATCCATACAAATACAGACGTATTATCGGATTATTTTTATTTTTGTTTACGTTTGTGGATAATAGCATGTAAGCCTACTTAATAAACCATAGTATACATCTTATAATAAATGTAACTTCAGGGTAAATAATTAGTTTCAATACATCAATAGAATATCTTCTGTATATACAATTCATTTGAAGTTACTCGGTTTATAATTAGGAGAGGATTCGCGACATCAACATCACTTCAAAATAGACAATCAAACTCGTCAAATTTTTAAATTCCAATTCAAACTTGTCATTCTTTAGATTTTAGTATGAAAATTTTATTATGAAAACATCAGATCTTTGATTGAATAATGAGAGTGAGTGGTTGTCACTCTTATTTATGACAACGTGGTTGAAATTTGAAAATTGAAATCAGCTTTCAAATTCTATACTAATGATTATTGTCTCACTGGTAAAATTTTTACAAGTGCTTTGAGAAATAAATATACAACATAAGATAAAAATTGATGTTGAACTATTGTCTATGTTACGAATTTATTTACAGTAAGACGTGACTAAAAGTGATTTACACAAATAAACAAACAAGAGAAAATACTACTCAACGCAATATGTATAAAATAGATATTGCAATTTGTATGTGACTAGACGAAAATGAGGTTTCAACGAATTCATTATTATGGTTTATGTAGGTTAGCTTATTGTTAGGTTATCGTCATATAGCAACAGAAAAAGTTTAACATTTATTTTTATATATATATTAATATTTACTAGTTTTGATAGAACTCAACAGGATATAAATTTCAATGATAAAATATGTTATATTATGTATTGCTTATATGATATATTGGCATTTTTATTAATGTCAATTACAGAGTTAAATGGTCATGGTCATTTTTCGAATAATTTTCAATCGCTCAGCACTATCAACGTTCGAATTCCACCAATGGACAAAAAAAAACGAGTTCCAAGGCCTCCACCTCTTTCTAACATTCGTTAGATTCGAAGACGTTTTCTACGAATTATTTTATATTGATATTTTTTTTGTTGCCTATTTCGATAAATTGTCATGATAACTTAATCTTAGGTTACACCAAATTATAGCCCAATTTACTTTGTATATGCAGTAAGATGATCACATTTTAAAATGATCTCGTTAAAAAAAAGTGATAAAAAAAACGATTGGAAGATGTGCAAATTTTACCATGTATACAGTGGAATTTGACCTACAATTTGGTGTAATTTAAGGTTAACTTATCATGATAAATTATTTCATTTTTACAATAATCAATAAAATGATTTCCATCAAATGATATTACACAAAATGTATGTTAAGATACAAAAAAATAAATGATGTTAATTGTAAAATTATATTTCTATAAGCAAAAACAATTTTTATCTTGATATTCATCTATTGACTATGAACGTATAACTAACATTTTCATTTTCCAACTTTTTAGAAATATAAATTGACTTAAACTAGAAAGAAAATATTGAAGATTTTATTTCGCTTATTTAAAATAAAATTATTAAATATTAGTTTTCTTCTGCTAGGAAATACTTAATCATTATCCACTTAATTTGATATGAAGTTGATAACACCTGTTCATTAAAACATTATAGAAATTCTAATATATATATATATATTTATCTTATTAATAATTTTTTTTTGAAACTCTATAAAAGTTAAAATTATTCTCGTTAAACTCAAATAAAGAATGAAAAATCTAAATGAATATGATTGCATACGCTGTTTGACGTTATCTTTGATCTTGTATATCTCTACTAAAAATTAAAAGAATATAATTGATGGTAATAATAAATAATTAACTGTTTACATACATTTGACTAGGTTTTCAAAGAGAAATAATTATTTATTAGTATTAAGCTCAATAAGAAAAAGACGAATACGAATTTGTCCATCAAAAACAAAACTTACCTATTTTTTTCATTTTTACATATTTATTGAAAAAATCTCGATAATATCTTTGATATTTAATAAAATTGAACATTTATAGTTTCGTGTATCTCTACAAACGTCGATGCCAATTATCTCTTGGCAATCTAAAATTAATTGAGTGACTGAAAGCTAAAATGGATGTGAGTGCGGGTTTTATTTCCCTTCATTGTTACTATGCATAACGTCACTGATGAGATTCAGTTCAAGCAACAAGAATTAAATCAAGAATTCTCTAGTCGTCTAACAGTTCATAGTACCCATGTGAAGCGACTGTAAGATACAAAATGAGATATTCATCAAATTCGGTCGATCACATTTAGTAACACATCTGCCGTGAATATTAAAATGATCGTGAGTTCATGAAATAACCGTTGTTCAAAGTTGAAACTAATATCCATATGTCCTTCTTTATCTTTACTGACAATGAAAAACAAAAAAGAGTGAGTATCAAATTTTTGATCTTTTCAATTTGATATCATTTCTAATACAATTGTAATAAATTAATTTTACTATAAGTACGAACAAGATATTCATCAGACAAACAATTCCATCTTTTCTCTATTAGCTCAGGAGGCCTGCGATCCAAGACTTATTCATAAAACAACAATCAGCTATGTTCATCTAACTCTTACTAATACATTCATCACCACATGCCCATGAAAAATTAAACTCAACAAATATCAGAACCTTCCATTCATGCTACATTCTCTCGAGAAACTATGCTTATTTATAAGTAAGACTACTAAAGCTTCCTCTCAACATGCAAACCTTACCTATTACTTTTGTCTGTTAAAGTTTAGTTGAAACCATTGTACAGAGGAGAAATCGAGTCATTTATTGACACATTCTTATCAGTGAAGTTTACATCGCGATCATGGCAACTTGAACTCATCCCCAAGATAGTCTTCATAGCTGTGAATAGTTATTGTGAACTTTGATAGATACATGTAAACATGTGACTATACATATGCAAGGAAACACACAGATACACACAAATTTATTTTGTTTCATATGACCCTTTCGTTGGTTGAGCAATGGTTAAAAGTTAGATCTGATGAAGAATAGATATATCGGGTCATAGACTGACTTATTGAGAACAAAAAGTAGAGAAACTCTTTCAACTTTCTAAAAGTTAATTCAGTGTTTTTGCACAGGACGCACAAACATCTAAAGATCGGCTAAAGATCACTTCTGCATAACGAAATACTACTGACTAACGCTATCCACCACCAAATTCGTGCTTACATCTTAACACTCCAAGTACTTGAATTCAAGAACATGCAATAGGACAAAACTCATCCTGTATAAATGCGAAGTTTTCACTCTGTCCTCGATGACCTTAACGTCTTAAAATATCTGTTAGGAAGTAAGTTCCTTCTAACTAGATTCTATAAAATAACACCCCGTGTTCCTTATCATCTGCTCTAATTGGATCCTTCATCTCTTCGCATGCATCTGTTTTAGTCATATACTGTGCTGGCTTTTCAACATAGTTTTCTGTTCTATTTGCACGAAAAATTTTAGACTTTTCCATCTTGTTGTACTTTCCGAAAATATTTTTAGGGTTTTCTCAAACTACTCATCTACTGGACTCTTTCCTGCACTAAAAGTAGTATGATAAAGTGAGTTCTTCTGGTTTTGTGTCGAATATAGATACTGCTTGTGATGAAAATATAAAATCAGCTGTTATGGGCTTTACGGAAAAATAGTATTTAAAAACTATAATTAACACTTTCGAAAAATTGAAATATATATTTATGTACGAAATCGTGTTTCAGTAAAAGTATGGTCCTCGCCAATTTTGAGGGAGCACCTTCTTACCGATCAAAATTAAAAACATAAATATTATAAGTGCAACATCATTCATACATCAAATCTTTGAAATAAGTTTTCCGTGCTATGCTCTAATTCCTTCTCTGCTTCGGCAAGTAAATGTTCTCTTCCATGGTACCAATTCGTATAGGAAACAATCACCATCGCTTCCGACACAGCATCGTTCATATTCTTTCGTTTTTCGAATCTCTCTTGGTACGTTTTCATTCGTTCTTCACCAAGTAATGCGCAAAGACGTTTACGAAGAAAAGTTGCCTCTTGTTCGCCTTTCCATTCGCTTTCAGATGTCATTGTTTCAAAATCTTGATCAGTAACCATCAACGACGACCATTCCCAGTCGATTAAAGCTCGTATGACTTTTTCATTGGGGTCAATAATAATATTCTTGGGTGCTGTATCCGTATGCGTGAGCACTGCTCTCTCATCAAATACAGATTTCCTTTGTTTTTCTCGTAATAATCTGATGATTGCTTCAAATTTCGGAACATAGCAGGAATACTTGCATTCCAACATTTCTGCTAGTCTATACTGTATGTGATCACACGAGTAGTTGTAGATATCGTCATAAGGACCCAATCCAGAATCAACGTT